GGCCCCTTCCAGGGGGGCCGGCGGCGGTTCGCGCTCTCGTCCCGCCGCTGCCCCGGCGTGCGGCCTTTTCCCCGCCGCCTCCTACCGCCTCCGCTCTTCGCCCTCATTTCCTCGTTCCGGGGCTACCGAGCCGGCCCGCCGCCGCGCTCTGAGTGCGGGCTGGGAGAGCGCCGAGGCGAGGCAGGCCCTCGGGTCAGCACCCTGAGGCTGAGCCTGGGGCTTGCTTGGTCGTTGTTTTTTTTTCTCGCCGCTTTTGGGGAAATAAATATGAATGTTTTAACTGCTATATCGCGAAGTGTTTCAGGTCCCGGTGGCTGTGGCCTTAACTTCCTTCCTGGGTGAGAAACAGCTTTACAGACCCGTGCAGTTTAACAGCTGAGATGAAGGAGAGGGTCAGCACCCTGAGGCTGAGCCTGGGGCTTGCTTGGTCGTTGTTTTTTTTTCTCGCCGCTTTTGGGGAAATAAATATGAATGTTTTAACTGCTATATCGCGAAGTGTTTCAGGTCCCGGTGGCTGTGGCCTTAACTTCCTTCCTGGGTGAGAAACAGCTTTACAGACCCGTGCAGTTTAACAGCTGAGATGAAGGAGAGAAATCCTCTGGCTTCCCTTTGAGCACAGGGGAAGCTTGCAATGGAGATTTACTACTTTTGTCCCTTAACTACAAGTATATAAAGGTGTACTTTTCCCCTTAAAAAATAAGAAACTTTTATCGTAAGTTTGGATTTTGAGGGAGGCAAGTAATTAAAACAGTGACCGTTTTATAATTGATGGATTTGCAGACCTGTTTGTAAGGAGGGTAGTTCAAGGCAGGGGATGCTGTCAAGAGCAGCGGAAATGTGCAGCTATGGTATGCTCATGGTTTTTTTGACTGGTAGTGCTGCTTTGTTGAGATACTGTCACTGTTGGTTGATTAGTTCTGAAAGGATTAATATTTGGTGTAGTTATTTCTGTATTCCTAGGAGAGTACCTTTAGTCTTACAGAGTGACTGTTTAGTCATAACCACTGCCATACAAACAGCTTGTGTTTGTAGCATATAGTGAATTTTCTTTCAGATGGATGTCCATGGCAGGATCAGAGAAGTTCTTGCTGAGACTATACGTGAAGAGTTAGCACCTGAGCATCAGCAGTTATCCACAGAAGATCTGATAAAAGCCTTAAGACAACGAGGAATCATTGATGATGTTATGAAGGAACTTAAATTTGTAACTGTAAGTAGTTTCTGAAGAGTGAAAATACTTTCTCCTGCTCTGCTCTGCTGAGACCCCCCCCTCTGCAGTGCTGCATCCAGCTCTGGGGCCCCCAGCACAAGACAGACACGGACCCGCTTGAGTGGGTCCGGAGGAGACCACGAAGATGCTCAGGGGGCTGGAGCAGCTCCTTGTGAGGACAGGCTGAGAGAGTTGGGGGTGTTCAGCCTGGAGAAGAGAAGGCTGCGGGGAGACCTTAGAGTGGCCTTCAGTGCTGAAAGGGGGCTGCAGGAAAGGTGGGGGGGACTCTTGATCAGGGAGGGCAGCGATGGGATGAGGGATAACGGTTTCAAACTGAAAGAGGGGAGATTTAGATCAGATGTTAGGAAGAAATTCTTCCCTGTGAGGGTGGTGAGGCACTGGCACTGGCTGACCAGAGCAGCTGTGGCTGCCCCCTCCCTGGCAGTGCTCAAGGCCAGGCTGGATGGGGCTGGGAGCAACCTGGTCTGGTGGAAGATGTCCCTGCCCATGGCAGAGGGTTGGAACTGGATGGTCTTTAAGGTCCTTTCCAGCCCAAACCATCCTGTGATTATTCCTGTTACTGGCTTGGTGTTTTGACAAAGTGAAAACTTGCTACTTCTGAAGGTTTGTAATGGCTTTACTGATTTGTGACGTATTAGGAGCAGAAGAGCTTAATGCATGGGCTAAAACTGGTTTAGTGGTAGTGCTGCATTGAAAGTATTTGTTCAGTTTCATTACATCTCAGGTAGTAGAAGGGAGCACCTGAGGAATGGCATTCAGTTGAAGTGGAGGGTTCTTTAATTTTTAGAATACTGTGGTAAGAGCACTGTTGCATCCCTTGACACATTAAAAAGTCTTAATTGTAATTACAGGATGTGAATGAAGAGGAGAGGACTTCAGCTCCAAAACCATCAACACATTTTGTTGACAGAGAGCCACCAGTTTTGAAAAAAAGTATGTTGCTTGTTTATTTTAATATTTGGATCATAGTTTTGAGAGAAATTTGAAGTCTGTTATTTTTGAACTCTGAATTAGTAATCTAGTATGAACTGGCCTAACGGTGGATTTTTTTCCTGCTTATCTACAGGAGGTAAATTACTGTAAGCAGCAGTAATTAGTGTCACGTAAAATGTGTCTTTTATAAGAACTTCATTTATTTTGTGTTAAGACAGCTTCCATACATTTTAAAATCACTTTCCTCTAAGCACTTGTTTAAAAAAGTTTCTTTTTTTTCTAGTCTTCTGTTAGTTAACTGATGCTTAACGTGCTTCCTAAGATCTGTTCGTAGTCTCTTCATTTTTATTGCTACGCTTTACAGCTAACATTGACCCAACACGGAGGTATCTTTACCTTCAGGTTTTGGGTGGAAAAGCTTTTCTGGAACATCTTCAGGAACCGGAGCCTCTGCCTGGCCAAATCTGTTCCACCTTCACTCTGTGTTTGCATTTTCGAAATCAGCGCTTCCGTTCTAAACCTGTCCCCTGTGCCTGCGAGCCAGATTTTCATGATGGTTTTTTACTTGAAGTGCACAAGGATAGCCTAGGTAAGGCGTATTGTGGGTTTAACGCTGATGCTATCGGGTTTTTTTCTGACCTTAGAGTTACTGTGAAATATGTTTGAATTGTTTAGTGGCTCTCATTCCGATTTTTTATCATTTTTTTTTCAAGGGAAACTGCTTACTGTATTAATCTTTCTCTACTCTTGCCTCTTCTTTTGAATTTGACCAACTGATCCATAATTGACAGTGAGATGATAGTCTCAGAGATGGTAAGAGATACTAAGGTGCTAGTTGAGTGAAGAAGGGAAACATAAATTTGTTGCCTACCAGTTGGCAAACACCTGCAGAAGAGTCAGTCATCTGCAACTTGTATTACCATTCCTCTGTTGGCAGTCAGGGAACATGGCAGGAGCTAAGTATGTTATGAAAAGACTTAGAGATACTGTCTGAATCCTGTAGAAATCCAGGGTAGCTTATGGAATATCAGGAAAGAGAGAGAAAGCCAGAGTTATTGCAGTTGGACTTGGGGAAGGGACTGAATGTACCACAAATTCAAAGAAAAAGATTTTGTTAATTCTGCTACACATGGAGCAGTTTGTATCATCGGGTCAAGCTTAACTGCAGGGAAAATTGTTTCCTAAATCTAGTGTATAGTAAGTTGACCTGATGCATTCCAACTTACTAAAAGAATATTTTTCAATTGCTTTTACTTAAAGTGCTTTAATACTCCTTGTTTTCTTAAATGCTAGTTCCATTTTAATTGTTGTGCAGTTGAACGAGTTACACTGGAGTACTAAACAACAGGGATCTTTTTATCTCCTCTGTAAACTAACTGTGATCTTCCTGTAGCTCTGTCCTAAACTGAGTTTGATTTTTTTGTTTGTTTGTGGGTTTGTTGGTTTTTTTTTTTTTTTAAGAGGGATTCATTGCTTACAGTTCTGGACAAAAGATTTTTGTTACAGTGCAATGTATGTAATCAATATAAACGCATACTTTTTTAATTTTAATTTTGAGGAGTACTTGGGATGGTAATATTCTTGCTATCTTGGTTTAATAATGGCAGGTGATGGCAGTAAAATGGTGGATGCAACCACTATGTTGTCTATATGTGATCCAGTGCATATGGTTCTGATCAAAACGAACACATCTGGTGAGACCACACTCATAGCATCCTATTTCTTGGAGTGGCGATCTGTCTTGGCTGCAGAGAATGGCTTAACGAATGTTGCTGTTGAGCTCCTGGGTGTAGGTAAGGGTAAATAATAAGGCCGTAATGATGACTTAAAATTCTGGGTACTGAGCTTGCTTATAAACTTAAAGCAGTGTTTATGATGTAGTTTAATTTTGATTTAACTCATAAATTACTATAAGGTATCCTTAGAAAATGTGTAGGAGACTATTGTTTGGGTTTTTCTGTGACCAAAATACAAAAGTATTCCAGATCTTGTGTAATAATGGCCCCCACATCTGGGAACTCGCACTACTGATTTTCTGCAACATCTATTAAAAACAAACTAACCAACCAAAAATCAGCCAGTTCATCTCCAGAAATATATTGGTCGGGTGCACTGAAGGGTAAAATCTAGCTTGTGTCCCTCTCATGGCAAACTAGCAACGGCCAGAGCAAGCGATCTCTGCTGTGCTGCCATTTATTCCAGTGGGTTTTCTGTCAGAAGGGTTGAGCAGCTTTGTTTAGGTGCTTAGCAGTTGGTGTACATGGGTATTTTTCTGTATCGCTTGTCCCCACTCCCCTTTTTAGGGGTTCCCACCTCAGGTTTTAGGATATTGTGATGTAGTGGATAAAGACTAGATCTCGATCTATCATGACTTCCTACGCTGGCTATCCCAGAGTTTGTTGAAGTCGTAGCTGCTGAGTCATTTGAGTATTCTTTATTACCATTTCTATATCTGTTAGGTAGGTGAGCAGTTCTTGATAGTTTCAAAAGAGATTAAATTATACCTTCAAAATATTTTGAAGATTATATATACACACACACACATAGTATATCCATATAATATAATATAACAATTCCTCATTGTTATCACTATTGCCTGCTTTTTTTTTTTGAGGAGGGGAATGATTTGGTATACTGTTTGATCCAGCAAATACAAATCTAGTAAGCTCCTTTGCTAGTATACTAGCTTCATTTCCTTCTGAAAATGCAGACATTGGCAAAACTTTAGTAAGCATATGGACTTGGAGTGTCTCAAATGGAGAGCTTTTATTAATAATGACTTGGAAATGCATAACAAGTAAGTTGTGTTTAATACTCAAATGAGTGATGGGAGGAGTTAAATCTAATTATCGTTATCTTTTTCCAAGTAATAAACTATCAATTCAGTAAATACAGTGCTCTTTCTCCTCTTCTGAAGTCTTGTCCTTGTACAAAATGCAACAAGAATATCAAAGCATGCTGCCCTCTCAGATAAATACACAAACTGCTGCGTGAGGCTTCTGTTGCTTGTGTTGCTTGTAATCTCATCTCTCTCTTGTTTTGTAATGCTGCTTGTTCTTCATGTAATTCTAAATCTTCAGCATTATGCAACAGCATGAGGTTTGTGGGATTTTATGGGTCAGTCGGTTTGGGTTTTTTAAGTTGATTAATTATTTGCATGGCGCTCTGAATCCTTCATAATAAGCTGTATCTTGGGGAAGATAGGCCTCACTTATTTCCAACTGCTTACATTTGAGCTACCTGTGTAATCAGTGAGAGCAGGCACTGCTGCAGGGTGTGACTCCCCTGCTGTATTTCAGATGCCTATTTTAGACGTTTCTAGAATGCCGTTCGTCTCGTATGTCCTGGTACTGGCTGGAAAGAGGGCCTTGGATAATTAGGTCTAGATGTCTGCATTTTTGGTCAGACTGTGCTTTTTTACAGCCTCATTTGAGTTTGAAATTTAAATAAAGATGCTTATTTTGCATATATTTAAAGACATTTAGTTATTTTTTGTAATTATATAGTGAACGTATTTATTTTAATTATTCGCTTCTGCCTGGCTGAAATGTCCTAAGTGAATTGAATTTGAAAAAACTGATCAAAATTTATTTTGGCTCAAAGGTACAGAATCCAAGGTTTCTGTTGGCGTTTTAAGCATCAGACTGGAAATGTATCCACAACTTAATAAGACATTGTCTCCAGAAATAACCAATACTCAAGTAAGTAATTTCTGGGATTGCTGGCTTATTCTTTTATTGCAGGAGGGGGAAGCTCAGTGTAGAATTACTTGTAGAGGTTGAGGGCTGTGGGGTTTTGAATGCTTGATACATCTTCCCCCCCCGCCTTAAATATAAATACCTTTTTTTTTCCATTAAGTATAATTACCTTTTTTTTAAACTACTTTGTTTATACTGAACATTATTGATTTATTTGAAATATTACTTTTGTAGTTTTTCTAATTGCTTTTATGAAAACTTTAAAAAGAAAAATGAGAAAGATTCAATATATCTAATTTTCTTCAGGTAGTATTCGTTTTCTTGCTCTCTTTCCCATTTGAAATAATAATTTCAAGTCAACTATTCTGCCTGGAAAGCCAGTGAGTGTTGGCTTGGAGGTGCATGTGGATATTCTTCTGCACATCAAAAGCTGAGCAATCCTTCTGTACAGAAATGCATCACTTAAGATGAACACTACTTCAGTCAAGCTTGATACATTTCTTGTTTGTAGGCTCATTTAACTTGGGGTTTTGTTCACTGGATTTTCATTTTAAAATACTGTTCTTCAGCATTTGTGTGGCACACTTGAAATATTAAGCTTTATTTTACATAGGCCAGGATTTGGTGTTAAGGTAGTTACTGGTTATGGTGGGTTTTGTCTGTTTGGAATTAACGTGTATGTGGTTGGTTGTGTTTTTCTTACCTGCAGTTTGCTTTGGAACGTCAGAAAACAGCAGAAAAAGAACGGTTATTTCTTGTATATGCTAAACAGTGGTGGAGAGAATACCTGCAGATTAGGCCTACGCACAACGTAAGGCTAGTGAAGATTTTTGCACAGGTTTGTAAATTTTACAAATAGACCAATCCTTTCTTTCTTTTTTCATTTTTTTATATATATTGAAGTTTACGTGTGTATAGAAGCTGTATGGATTTATGACGTGGTTACATTCAAGTCAGAGCTCTGTGTGGTGGTATCATGCAAAAAACGAAATTGTGAGATTTGAACTTCTGTTTGTGTATTGAAGCTTGGCAGCATGATGCAGACAGAGGGTTGCTCCAGCCACCTCTGATGTATGAAGCCTGTTTAGTCTTTTCCTTTAATACTCACAAATGGCAAAGACTTATGTGCAATGTGCAAACTGTTTCAAACAAATTTTCTACCAGATAAAACAGGTGTAAAAAATGGGCTTACTAGATCTGTTAGAACAGATCCACGCAATATTTGAGCTCTGTTGGTGTGTAAAATAATCTGTCTGGTTAATGTCCCACGATAGCTACAGCCATAATGACTGTAGGCTGATAAACTATTGTGTCAGCTGCTGCTGGTTAACTGTCCCTCAGTAAGAGGAGTGGTACGAGCCTTGCATTTTTCGTGCTGTGAATTGGACTGCGTAGTAGCAATTTCCCGAGCACAGGTAATAGGCAGTAGCTTTTTATCTCAAAATAACATCCTGAAGCCATCTGTGCCTACTCTTTCTCTTCAGTGAAGTCACAACTTCCATTCTGGCTGTGCCGTGCGTGTTCAGTAGTGGTGTGAACTTCCAAATCCCAGCCAGCAGCTGAGCCCCCACCCAGTCACTCACTCACTCCGCCCCAGCGGGAGGGGGGAGAGAGTAGAAAGGGCAAATAGAGGAAAAACTCATGGGTTGAGATAAAGGTGGTTTAATAAGGAAGGAAAGAAAGAAGGGGTGGGGAAAACAGGCGATGCAAAGACAATCACTTACCACCTCCCATGCGCAGGCTGATGCCCAGGTGGTCTCCAAGCAGGGGCAAGTTTAGAAAAAGTCTCCCCATCCCTGCCAGTTTTATTGCTGAACGTGTGGTGCTCTGTGGTGTGGAATGTCCCTTTGGTCGGCTCGGGTCGGCTATCCTGGCTGGGTCCCCTCCCAGCCTTTTCTCCACCCTGAACCTACTCTGTGTGGGGGCAGAATGAGGAGCAGAGGCGGCCTTGACCCTGTGCGGGCACTGCTCAGCAACAGCAGGAACACGGTTGGGGTCACAAATCCATAGGGGCTACTGTGAAGAAAATTAACTCTGTTCCAACCAGAGCCAACACAAAAGCTTCAGGATTCCATGGAAGGGTGTCTAGAGAAACAAACAGATAATTAAACAGGGAATTCTAGAACTGGGGGTTTGGTTGGGGACGTGAGGTAAAAATGATACCTGCCCTATTTTGAGAATAAAGTGATGTATGAATTAATGCTGTTCTACTTTCTGCACACAGAAAGCTACAGTAGGGTTGGGAAGAAGGTTGGAGGGGGAAGGACTTGTGAATAGGAGTAGAGGACTAAGTTCTTTGTTGCAGACCAGTATAGAAACTGGCAGCCCTCAGAACGCTACAGGAACTAAGCCCCCTGCTAGTTCAGTGCCTATAGAGAGCTTATCCAGAGTCTCCTGCTGGCCATAGCAATGCTGGTAAAACGGCACTTTGTGGCCTTTCTCGTTTCTGGGAACAGAAATTATCAGAATTGTTTGGTAATTTAGTAATCATCCAATTTCATATACATAATGCAGAAGCATGTATTACATGTATAAAACTATATTGAATAAGGAATCCTGCCTGTGATTTTTGTGATTGGTTTCAAGCTGTGAAATAATTTTCAACAGGATTCCAATCAACCTCAAATAAATGCTGCTTTTCTTACCAACTTACCAGAAAAGCGTGATGAAACCTTAATGGGGGCAATATGTGACTACAGTAAAAATATTAGACCATAATTTCCTAAAGCTGTAGAGATTTAAAAGGCTTTAATCCCTTTTAAAAATATATGAACATAAAAGTACCAATTTAGCCCAGTGAGGAAGAGTTCTGTACTTCTCAAAATAGTTTTAATAGTTGATTAATCAGTATTTTCCTGCAGCATGTAATAAACCAGAGCTTTTTCCAGTCATCTTATTTTTTCATTTTTCAAATAAATTAGAAATTCTTAGTATTATTACTCTCTTAATTTATATAAATCTGGTTACTTCGTTGTCAGTAAATTTTACTGCTTTTTGGTGTTACGACATGAGGTAGAGTATTCAAATTCGGAAGCAGACAGACACCTTTTGAACTCTAAAATAGCTGAGTGTTTAATGGCTTTGAGAGGGTATTGGTTTTTGGGTTTGTTGTGGGGTTTGGGGTGTGTGTGTATTTGTTTTGTTTGGGGGTTTTTTTGATGATAATGTAGAAATTGCTAAGTGTGAAGCATGAACAGTTCCCCACCCATTCAAGAAAATGAATTGCAGCCTGTGCTGCTCCAGGTGTTCAAACATTTAGTCCGGAATGTTCTATGAGTGACAGAGCCAGCAGAAAAACCTAACTGTAGTATCGCAAATGAGTTGCCTTAATGGTCTCGTGTCTTAATTCTAGAAGTATTTTTGTGTCTTAATATTTTTGAGTGGTACTTATTTCAAGGAGAATAAATTGCATTGCAAAAAAGGACAGTCTGAGTTAAGGTGACTCTTTTGTGGTATTGCTGGCAAGCAACTGTGTTTTGCCTGTTCAGGATGAAAACGGAGTGAACCGTCCTGTGTGTTCATACATCAGACCACTTCGAGCAGGCCGGTTACTAGACACACCGAGACAAGCGGCGCGATTTGTCAGTGTTCTGGGCTACGAAAGAGCTCCTGTCATTGGAGGAGGTGGTGGCAAGCAGGAACAGTGGTGCACCCTGCTTGCTTTTCTATGTAGAAACAAGGTATGTGAAAATAGTCCTTGTGTGACACAACAGAGTTGGCATCATACTGTAACTGAAGTCAGTAATTTAAAGCAGGCTGCAAATAGATGGATTGAATCAAATTTGGAGAATTCTGTTACAATGCTTTGTTTAAGATCTCTTCAAAGAGGAACGTGTTAAATAGTCGACAGGAAGGCTTTGAGGTCCACTTGTCAATACATCTCTTTGACAATAGGCTTGCTTTTATTCATTTGCTTTCTTAAGATTCTAGATAATTATTCAACAAATCCTTGCTGGTGTGCAGGACACTAGTTTGAATTCTGGACTAATCCAGGAAGAGCTGAAAAAGTGTCTTGTGAAAACCTTTTATTTAGATGGGCTAAATGTACTGGTAGTCTTTACATTCCTTTTTTTGCAAGATGGGGGTTTTCACCAGAAGTTTCAGCCTAGTTCTTGGTGTTCTGACACTGGTGTTGTAGTGCTGTCATAAATATAACAAACTGTAACTCATTCTGGATTATAGCTCTTGTATGAATAAACCACCTCTCTGGAGCGGTCGATGCTTTTCTTTGCCACTCGGATACTTCTGCTTTTGAAAATGTCACCGATGTGGTTGTATTAAAAAAGATGTGGTGTTCTTGGCAGCAGGAGCTGTATCCCAGTTTTCAGACCTGTCTCAAAGGCCACACAGAACAGGCGATACACAAGTATCAGTTCGTGCATAGTTACTGTCTAAAGGCACCACTGACTATTCACTGGCTTTCAGATGGAGATGGCAGTTGCAACTTGGAGGACCCTTGTGTTTGGAGGCACAGAGAAAAGGTTTCCTCCGAGGCAGGAGTGGAAAGCTGTATAGAAAACAGCTGAATTTAGCCCCTGAGGCACCAGCTGGACCATTATTCTTTTTCTTGTGGAAAGTGGTGTGGCGTTATTGAATGAACACAGGTTCACTAAAAACTTGTTTAAACCTACTTTTCTGTGTATTTCCCTTGTGTGTTGTGGTAGGGGAAGACTGTGTTGTCTGTGTAATGAACAGATGCATCCAAGTACACTGAATTTTGATTTTCAACATTCTGAGTAGTATTTGATTCAAGAGCCTTTACTCTTCTACTTCTGAATGCTGTGCTTTGTATTATGAAGGCTTCATTGCATGAGGAAGTTTTTTTGTTTACAGCTAACATTTGTAAAGAACTTAAGAGACAAAGAATATTAGACATTACATTCGGAAATTGTATTCTGTGAATTATCAATGGTAGTAACGTATTTGTGAAAGAAATGTTTTTCTGACTGAAGGGAAAAGCAGCTACGCATGACTTTCAGCTGCTCTGTAGTTAGATCTGTGGGGGAGGTTGTTTTATCTTTGTTCAGTTTCTGAGCTTTGACAACACATTCAAGGCAGTGAAATAAGAGTAGAATTACACTTTATTAAGTAACTATATTTTCTAACTGTGTGAAAATACTGTGTAATTTCCAGTATTACCTCAGGTGTTTGCCTTATATACGTTTTTGTCTTCACGGGTCGACAGATTCTGGTTGTGGATTACTTGAAGGTTTCTTTATAATAATGAGAAATGTTTTTCAGTATTAATTGTACAGCATATTCAAATAAAAAATATAAATAGTCTATCATTAGAACATACTACTGGTTTTAAACTGATTTATTCCAATACAGAAAACTAAAACTTGTCAAGTTTAAACCCTAAAATCCTGACTTCTGGTACATGCTGTAGGTAAACAGGAGGGAAACATGACTTGTGAAATAATGCTTAGAGAAATACCACTATTTTCTGTCTTTAAGATTTTACCCATGCCTGATACTCAGACCAACTTGCAATATTTACTCTCTAGGGTGACTGTGAAGATCATGCTAACCTTCTGTGCAGTCTTCTTCTTGGGTTTGGGTTGGAAGCCTTTGTGTGTGTTGGAACAAAAGCCAAAGGAGTCCCCCATGCTTGGGTAATGACTTGTGGAACTGATGGAACAATTACTTTTTGGGAGAGCTTAACAGGACATAGGTAAGTAGAAGGGATGTAAGAAGAGTGAACAGTGTCTATTGAGGTTTGCCTGGGATATTTTTGTTGTTGCTTTTTTGTGTTTTATCTTTACACCCTGTCATGTAACTGTCATGTAATCCAGGTGACTTCGTCTTTGATTTTTTTTTTTCTGTGTAGGGCTTTTGTTTGGAAAATTACTGGCTCAGTGTGAGGGGAAATACTTCAACAGTTTGTAATACAGCTTTCAGTGGCTTTAATACCGTACAGTAACTGTGCTGTGTGTTACAGCAGCTCATCGCCATTGCTACTATCACTGCCATCGTTTGTAGAGGAGGAGATGAAATCTGACATGATTGTTTAGGAACCCTTTTTTTTCTTTTACTTACTTCTACGATGAAATCAGGGTTACAATTTTCCCCCCCTGCAGAGATCTCTGCAAGTTCTCTGAGATTCTCTCTCACTTGAGTCATTGTAGAAGGGCAGGTGTAGTTGTTGGGTATTCCTAAGCTGCTGGAACCTGTGCTGTCCCGTGTTGGAAACAAGCAGTTCTGCTTTGCCACTCTTGGTGTATCCTCTGATCTGCATTTGAAGACTTATTTCTCCACATGTGATGAATAGTGGGGAAACTGTATGGGTGTGTCGTTACAGTTGCAAGATTAATTGCTGTTGAGTATCTGCTTGATAAATCAGCTGATTTTTCTAGATTTAAATTTAAAAAGTGGTGTATTATTTCATGTATGTTATGCCTCCAAACTGTGTATGATTACTTTTCTGTAAATAAATGAATGCCATTTTGTGGGGAAAAAATGTTAACATTGGTTTATATTTTTAAAAGGAGAAATGGCTTATATCTGTCCTATCTAAATATTTTCACCTTGCCTTGAAATAAGGTGTATTAATAAGAAATTAAATGTTTTTGATTAGGTACATCCACAGACCTGTCAACCCTGATGACCCTCCGCTAGCTGAACAGCCCAAGCCGCTGTATCCTTACCGCACGATAGGTTGTATCTTCAACCATCAAAAGTTCTTAGGAAACTGTCAGCCCTCTGATGCAGTGGAGGTCTGTGTGTTTGACCTTCATGATGAATCTAAATGGAAGCCCATGAGTGGAGAAGCAATCAAATCTGTATGTGCCCCTGGAACAACATCTTCAGTTCCCCCTTTCCCTCCTCTGTGCGCTTCCACAGTAGATGCTGCTGTCACAAGCAATGAGATAGAATTGCAGCTGAGGCTACTGGTCTCTGAACACAGGAAGGTAACGCTGTTTAAAGATTGTTGTTGATCTGTTGGGGTAGTAAAGGTGTACGGTTTTACTCTCTACCTGTTTTGAATAGCCATTTGTTAGTTCACATACTCATATCTTTGCCATGTGTTTTCCATCAGCTTCTGCAGAAATGCGATATATGAAAAGTGAAGTAACTGAAGAACTGTTTAGAAGGACTGTACTGAGCTAGTTTAGATGTCTGTCTTTTTTGCAGGGGTGATTTGTAGCCTTGTGTGGGCTCCTGCCCCCCAGCCTGCCTTTGCCTCTCATTCTAGATCTGTCGTCTTCAGCTTACTGGCACCTGCAGACTCTCTGCGAGCGGTCTGTAGAAGAGCCAGGAAGATCAAATCTGGTTGTTAGTGGGCTTTGCCGGTCCATCACACGTGGTTTTGGTCCCTAGATAAAAGCAGGCCGTCAGCTTTTGTGATCTTACTCTGAACTATTTACAAAATCGGAAGGTGTTTCTAGAAGTTAGTTTTGTCCTTATCTGTGTTTAGCCTGTATCCGGGGCTAAACTACAGCAGCTGCTCTGTCACCCCATGACCCCTCCCCAGCCGGGAAGGGGAATCAGGAAAAGGAGAGGAGTTCTTTTTTTTTTTTTTTTTTTTTTTTTTTTTTTTGCAGCGCTGAAACTTCTGCCAGATAAATTAGCAAAAAAAAAAAAAAACAAAAAACAAACAACCCCCAAAGAAAGTTTTCTATTTAGCCCAATAAATGTGCAGTGGTCACAGCCAACAGGAGAGCAGTCCTCGGGAAGCAAGGAGAAGCCCCCCTGTCCCCAGCAGACTTCCCCATTTTATCACGAGCGGGAGGTTGATGGTACGGGACACTCCTGTGAGCCCGTCTGGGTCAGCTGCCCTGGCTGTTGCCCCTCCTAGCCCAAGCACCGGCCCAGCTTGGAACTGCCAGCGGCCTGTGTGCCACGGCTGGCCTCAGAGTGTATCTCAGCAAAGCCAAGACAGTCCTTTGTCAGGATTTTTACAAGATGTAGATGTGCCAGAAATGATTCTTCCTGTGCCGGGTATGAAGGAGATGGTATTTTAAATCCTTGTTAGCCTTATGTCTGTTTTAAACTTTGTTTGTCTGTCTGTCTGCCTGTGCGTGTCTGTCTGCCT